TTAAACAAGGGCATATATATGGTTTTGTGTAATTTTTTCTATTACATTTTATATACAGGACAAATTTGGAGATCAATATAAACTTTTCCTTCTAATTAATCCGGAGGATGATAAGCCTGTGGCAGTTGTGGTTCCGAGAAAGACTTTGCAACCAGAAGCCACTGGTAATTGAACAATTCTTAATTCGTTAACTAGTTTTGAACCGTAAATATCTATCAGATGCTTTGTTAGAAATATGAATATGTTATAGCTGCAATGCCCCCACATTATTGAACTGAATGTACTTCATTTGAGTTATGCAGCTGTTCCAGAATGGTTTGCTGCTGGGGCTTTTGGACTAGTCACTATATTCACCCTACTTCTCCGTAACGTTCCTGCATTACAAGCAAACGTATTGTATGTTCTCTTTTGTCTAATTCTGATCCTCTTAAGAGCAAAATAACCGTCTAACAAAACATGTTACTTTTCTGTTGTATCTGTTTTTGTTATGTAACTTTTCCATCTTCAAAACTCCATGTCTGCTAGTGTCAGGTATGTTATTATGATCATTTGTTAACTAAAAGTTAGTATCGTTTAATTATCATGATCTTTAGGATTTCATGAGCATGTGCTTAACCTTGATTTCACGATGCAACTTTCAAGAAAGCACATTATTGTTGAACAAGAACCTCTTTTTCTCTCCTTCCCTACTATAGTATATGCCATTTTCGTTCTCTAAAAGGCTTATTTTTCATTTTGGGTTGTTGTCATACTCGTGTCTCCTTGAAAAAAATCCATTTGTATGTTTGTCTGTTTTTTCTGTGTCCAATTTTTTTTTTTTTTTTTTGGGGGACAAAAAAAATCTCATTTAGCCATTCATATAAAATGTAATCTTCTTTGTTTTTCCAGATCAATTTTTGATAATATTGAGTTGTTGGAATATGGCCTTCCTGGAGCTCTTGTGACTGCACTTCCTCTTGCAGTTCATGAAATCAGCCATGCTTTAGTTGCAAAAGAAATTGGAATTAAGCTGGGAATGCCTTATTTTGTGCCTAGTTGGCAGGTGAGGAATATTGTTATCCTGATATAATATCAGACTAAAGATTTATATGCTTCTTGATGCATTTTGTATCTTGTTTATGCACATGGTTATCTTTGATGAACATAAATTCTTTACTCGTTTATTGAACAGTGTTTAGCTACTTGTTCTCCACATGCACTTTTGTTCCAGGATGGTAAAATTGGATAATACTTTACGTCTGCATGGTAGTTTCTCGTAAATTTTGTGCACTTAACATCATCTGGAAATACGAAAAGCATAAATGTATCACAATGTAGTAATTTATTTTTATCTGGGCTTCTTTTGAACCTGTTCAAGGAAAAAACTGTCAATCCGACTATTCTAGGCCCTTGGAGTTCGCTCGAATCTGTATAGTGCTTTCTTCAATTGACGTGTATGGTGCTTTTCTCATTTCTTCTCACTGTCAAGGGTTTTGTCCACTTATCAAAACTAGTCTTGCTTAATGGTTGTTTACTTCTACCTTGGAGCTGATTTTTTTTTTCAGCTGTTTGTCACGGACTTGCTAATTTCCTTCAAGAACCGTGCGGCCTTAGTGTCTT